CAAGAGCACGAAAGGACTTTAGAGGACAAGCAGAAGATCAGGGACGCCCGAAATCAGTCAGGCAACTCACCTGTTCTTGGGAGGGGTGAAGTGTGGGGACCTGTTGGGGAGACGAGGAAGGTTAGACACAGAGCACACAGGTGACGGGAGGCTCGGCCTTTTGACTGGCTGAGCTGGTGCCCTGCACATGTCTCTGGCTGCATGCTGGCTCAGTCCATCCTCCATCTCTCCATCTTCCAGGGAGCTCAGTCTGGCCCCACACCCGTGTCCCACAGCACAGTCCCTCCAGCTCATTCCTCCTTTCCCAGGGAAGAAATCATGGCCTTGCCTCTGCTGTCTTTGGTAACCCAGGAAGGCAGGTAAAACCTTCCCTAGGCAATGCGCTGCTGGACACACTGGCAATCTGCCGTTACACTGGCCACTCTGATGTCCTATACCACCTCCACCAATCCCTTTGCTGTGACGCTCCAGAATGCGCTGCCACAGCTGTTTTTCTGCAAACCTCTCACAGCCTTCTGTCATGCCCACAGCTCACCTTCACCCCCCACTTCTCCTATGTGATAATAAGTGAACACTATCAGCACAGTGAGGTACAGGAGTCCCCAAATGACTAGAGCACCAAGGACAGGGGAAAACGTGTGAATCTCATCCTCCAACGTGCTATGCTTCCAAAAGAAGGGGTAGGAGCTGTAGAGATTGGAAACTCCCATGCGCTGGTCTGATCTGAGAGTAACATGAAATGCTAACTATGTCTGCCCTCTGAGAGGCAGATCTGTAGAATTTTCACAACAGAGCCCTGTTATCTCCAAACCAGTGTTGGAGCCATATGTGTACCAGCACCTTACTGAACTTGCTGTGTGTCTCACTAAGGAGCCTGGCATTGGCCTGCAGGGTCAGCTGCCGTGAGGAAGGGACAGGCCACTGCACAAGCAGGAGGAGCGGCACTGGGGACCTGCATGCATTGGTGCTCAGTCTAACCACTTCACAACCCACGACGGAGCCCAGTGAAGATCCATGCCAAAATGAAGTTCTGAGCGCAGACCCAGGTGCCCTGATGGAAGCCTGTTCAGGAACCAGGCCCGGATGTGGCAGGGGCTCACCTGAGCAGATGACTCCTGCATCCTCCTGGTGCCCGCAGTTGTGGGAGAGCCATCCGTTGTGAGAACAGTACCACAGGTAGGATTCATGACCTGAGCAGGCCACATCATCCAGGACGATTGGCCCATTGCCTTGACCAAAGCGGGCATTTCCCGGAGCAGACACGGCCCAGCCACAGCCCAGCTGCCTGCACACCACGTTGGCATCATTGGTGTCCCAGCTGTCATCGCACACGGTGCCCCAGGAGCCCTGGTACAGGACCTCCACACGGCCCTGACAGCGGTGTCCTCCGTTCACCAGCCTCAGGGCCAAACCGGAATCAGTGCCTAGGGAGGACACAAGTTTCACAGTTGATTCTGTTTCTGTGAGAAACATTGAGGCGAGGCAGTGGCTGGGAAGCCAAGTCTATTTCCCAGTTTCTCATTCTCTCATGCATGTAAAAAACCCAAGGATGAGGATGGCAGCCCCTCCCTGCCAAGCGCAGGGGCAGTTGTGACCTGAGTTCATGCACAGCACAGAGGCCCTGATGCAGATCGTGCTGAGCCACTCCCTGAGTCTGACATTTTCTCTCCTCAGTTTCACAGGCTCTGCCCTACCTTCTGCTGACCAAAGCCCTCATGTCCAAATCATTGCACAAGCTCTCATACTTGGAGGCAAAGGCCATAGACAGTGCTCCATGACTGAATGAAGACTAGTGGTAAGTAAAGCCCCAGAAACATCCATCCATTTCCTTCCCACATCACTGTCTGTGTCTCTTCTGTGAACCTGAGACCTGCTGAATGGCAGGGTTCTTGCAGGAGTAGTAGAATGTACCAGTGTCATCTCCACTCCTCCCATGCTGGAGGGCACCTGCATCCACCTGTACGTGCATCCACACATGCACATACATTGCACACATAAGTGAGGCAGAAGGCGGGTATAGATCCTCTGGTGTGAGTCAGATGAAAAGGGAGGGAAGGATGAGCTCAGGCAGATGCCCCAGAGATGGAAGTTACCACCTGCTCTCCTAAAAGAGGCTGGAAGCCCATATCAGAACTCTCCTTCCTGGGGATGCAGTCACTGAAATGTGGCTATTGCTCCTGCGTCTCACCCCTCGGATCAGGCCTGGAGCCTGCGCACTGTCATGGCGGCCTGCATGAATGGCACATTACACAACTCCAGCCTTGTCTCTGTGCTCCAGCTGGACCACACTTGTGCTACCTCACGCTGAAGTCAAGACTCAGGTACCAGATAACTCAGCACCAGATGAATGTCAGCACAGACTTGTCCTCTCCCACCATTATCACAATTCTGGCATGGCCCGGGTCCCAGGTTGGGACTGGAACACCCACCAGCACCACAGCAGCTCAAAACATGTGATGCTCTTTCTCAAGGACCAAGTGGACCAAATGCCACTGGCAGTAAACCTGGGACCTGAGCCGTTGCTTGAGGAACACTCTGAGACAGGCAGGGCTCTTTCACCCAGGGGAGGGAACCTAACTTTGTAGGAACAGGGCTCCCGGATCTGCCATTCCTGCCTCAGTGCTGGTCTAAGTAGAATTGCTGATCCTTTCCTGGCTTGTGCTGATCCCCTGCGTGAGGATCTTCCCTGAGCAGTGGATCAGGCCGCCTCTGGAGCAAGGTCACCTTCCACCCCACATCAAACCAAAACTTTCACCTTCCAGAACCCAGTTTGTACTTGCCCAGCCCACAGAGATGTGGTTTAGGAAGGAGCCCTTCACCCTTATTCTTGGGTTTCCAACCCATCTTTTATTCAGAAGTGTGTGCAAATCTCAAGCAGGTTTGAGAGGATTATTACCTGGTGGGCATAGGCCATATGTGTCCAAATGGCAACAAGAAAGATTGAATTAGAGAAGGACTAAAATTAGTCCTGAGAGAAAAAGGACAAAAACAAATGGTTCTCTGCTTCAGGTTCACAATTCCTCATGTGGATAGTGTCACATGCTTACTGGGTGTGTGCACGAGGTTTAAATTTCTTATGTCATTCATAGGATGAAGGGAGTAGAAACTTGACTGGCCACTCCATCTCTCTTAGCTTGAGATGGTCTTTTGTCAGTCAGGACGCTATGATTCTCTGTTTACTGTCCCCTGTATTGGCAGATACATCTGGCACCATTGCCTCCCCTTCCTGAGTCTAAAGGGTAATAGGAGCCAGGTGCTGACAACACAGTAATCAGGCTTTCCGGTAACTGGGAGCACCACAATCATCAATGCTCCCCCATTCATCTGGCAGAGCCTCTTTGTCTTCTGGGTGCAGACCTGACCCTGAAAAATGAGGGTCTTTTTTTTTAAATGAGACACAGAGGTTTCTGGCCTGCATTGGGATTGCCTTCAACGGTTCCGGGAGGATCAACATCAATTCTCAGCCTTGAAGAATGATGATTTTTTCCTTAAGCTAGAAGAGTTATCCCGGTGGACAATGTCCAACTATTTAACCCAAACTCTGACGTGTTGAGAGGAGGAAGACATCTAACTTCAAATGTTCAAACGAGAGCTTTCTTGGTGGGCATCAGAGAGAAGGCAAGTAATACCCGTAGGATGTGCCAAGAGAAAGACTAAGTTCTAGAATGGAGAGAAGAGCAGGGGCATCTCACATTAAGAGACCTGGTGTGAGTGTGGACTGGGACTGGGCAGCTGTGAGAAAGGGAAAGAAGGTTGGACCCAAAGCACACAGGTACCCAGCTGGACTCGCAGGGAGCACAGACTCATGTATTTATAGATGGAACTGGTGCTCTGCACGTGCCCCCTGGGTAGATGCTGGCAGAGGGTACCGTGAATGCCTTAGTTCTTCATGAAGCTCCATCCTGCCCCCTACCTCCATGTCAGCATCGTGCATGAGGTTCATTTTCTGGAAGTTGCAGCCATGCCTGGGTCAGGCCACAGTAGTTTTTACATTAAAATACAGCGGAACAACCCACAGCCAACCTAAGCCATGAGCTTGAAGACCCAGAAGATCCACTCTCCAGTCGAAATAAACCTGAGGTCCTACATGAATTCTAGTGATTCCCCCTGCTGCAGTGCTTCTACACCCTCCAGGCTAGCTGCCTCATTACATTGTACCTTTTTGCTTCTCTGCTGAGCCCACACCCACATCCTCTATCCCTACTTCTGCTCCTCTGAGCATTTGAACCCTTTCCTCCCAGTCAGCTTCTGGGAGTCTTCAAACGAGTACATCATCAAAGAGAGAGGAGCTCTCCCAAACATGTTCCCAAAGATGCTGTTCCTGTGAAGGATGTCATGGTTCACTGTGGGGTTGGAGTCAACTGAATTCCCCTAACTACAATGGTTTATTGCTTATGCCCTCAAGATGCTGGACCCCGAATCTTCACAGTATTGTTCCATCGCGTCCAAATTAATGTTGAGGACCTGCTCACCAGAGGCAAAATGAACTGACTCTGGTTTTTTTCAATTAGGGGTACCTGACATTGCTCCTCCGAGGTCCGCCATCCCTGCCGCCCCAGCATGGGGCCTAGTGGTGATTAATGCCGGGATGACGTTCTGTGAGCAGGGTTAAATGCTCTGGTCAAAGCCCATTCTCAGCAAGGAAAGCCCAGCTGTCTTTGGGGCTCACTTGAACAGATGACTCCTGTGTCCTCCTGATGCCCACAATTATGGAAAAGCCAGCCACTATGGGGCAGCGCCACAGGCAGGATTCGTGTCCCAACAGGCCACATGGTCCAGAACAACTGACCCAGATCCCTGACCAAAGCAGGCACTTTCTGGAGCAGACACATCCCAACCACAGCTCTGCTGCCTGCGCACCACGTTCGCATCATTGGTGTCCCAGCTGTCATCATACATAGTGCCCCAGGAGCCTTGGTACAGGACTCCACACAGCCCTGACAGTGAAGCCTTCCATTCACCAGTCTTAAGGACAAACTAGAATTAGTTCCTAAAAATGACACAAGGATTTCTCACCCCATAATGTTTTATGCTGATGGTCAACGTGCTATGCTTGGTGTGCATCCAAGACCGCTTTCCAGGGCCAGCCCCCCTCAAGCAGATTAAGGTCCACACCACAATATAGAACGGGAGCTCCTAGCCCCCTTTCCTCCCTGGGCCTTGGGCACCTTGTCTATTAATGGTCCTCGTTGCTAGCATCTTATTTTCTCAACCTCATTAGCATGCCTCAAACCAACTCTAGGCTTAAAATGAGCCTTTGACACCAGCATGACCATGGTTTTTCCAACCGCTTCAACCTGGGGTGAATCTGTCCTGGACAGTATCCACATATGCCTGTTCCACCTTGCAACCAAGGCTTTGCAAACAATGCCAGGTGAGCCTGGATCCCCAAGGACCAGAAGGCCTAGAGATCAGACTCAGAGCAGAACACCCTAAACCCGGACACCAGTGCCACTATGCATGCTGGGAGACCTTTCTGGAAAATCATCGTATTCTGATCTTTTTTTTTTTTTTTTTTTTTTTGGTACCGTGAATCAAACTCAGGACCTTGTGCTTGCCATGCAGGTGCTGTGCTGTGCCACTGAGCTATATTCCAGACTTATTCTGACCTTTCTAACCCCCAAATTTTTTTTGATTCAACACCAACCTGAGAGCCCATGTATTTTTGTGACCCAAAGAAACAGCATGGGGAGAAGTACCCCTTGTCACCACAACTGATTCTGTAACAGGCAGAAAACCTGTGAAGGGGGCCAGCAGAATCAAGTTTGGCATCCAAGTCATATGAACTACTCTTCCAAATTTGCATCTGAGAAAGATCTAGAAACAATCCACTTGAGCCTTCTCTAGGGCCCAGATTCCCTCAACATGGGCACATGAGGTTTCTGTGGAAGCAAAGCCAGCAGACACCTGGAGGTCCTGTCAGGCACTCTCACATGTCTGGGGATCTAGGATTGGCTTGGAGCACATTTTGCACATTTTCCTCCAGGCCCTGTAACCAGGGACCTTGGGACCAGACTGAGTAGTATCAGCATAGACCTATGGAAATGGAGGAACTGGGACCCTGGACTAGAGAACTGATTCCACTGGTCTCTGCCCCAAAGCACACAGGCTCCTGGAGACTCCCCTATTCTGCCTGACCCCTCTGCACCCACAGAAAAGTAAGGGATGAAGAAGCTGCATTCAAGCCCTGCCCTCTGGTTAAAGGGGCATCTCGCCTGGCACTAAGCATTCACTACACACCCACCATCTCTCCCCTAAACTTTATCCTAAGGAAGAGTCAAACCCATGGGTATCCAGTACTTGGCCTTGTGACTGACAGAAAGAGAGTCATTTAAAATTGTTATTAGCTGTTGCCAGTATGTACCAGCACCATACGGTATGTTTCAGCACATATTTACTATGGAAGATGGAAAGTAAACCAGACAAAACACAAAACAGAAAGTACAAACTTTAGTCTTCTCTGAGAAGAATCAAGACCTGCAAGTAAACTGAAATCTGCCAAGGTCTTCCTGATCTGGTCTTCCTGATCTGGTCCTCTGCCCCTCTGTCTTCCTCGGTGACTTTGCAAAAGTCAGAAAGCTGTTATCCCTGAATTCTTCAGTTATAAAAGACTATTTTATTGTGAGATAAAATGTCTCTGTATCACCTTCTCACCCTGATTCTGACATGCCTACATGTGGCTTGTGAAGGGTTCCCAGGAATAGATTCAAAAATTTTTCCTATCCTTATATCTCTAATTGATTTATCTCATCAAGTTTCATTGGCCAGTAAGATACTGAATAGTGGTGAATTGAGGGACATGTTTGCCTTGCTTATGAACTTAGTAAACATGCTAAGTACTGGCTTTAAACTTTTGTCCCTACGTAGGTCAGAGGCTTTGTTATGATGGTCATCTGTGTTCTCACCCTAGGACCACAGTTCCCCATGGAAGGTGACTCTCTCCCAAGCCCAGGCTGCCAGATTCTCAAGCACACCCACTGTGCCTCTCTGTGAAAGTGCCCCAGGGGGACATGTAAGAATTCTGATGCTTACAGGCTGAGGGGTCTTGATTTCCAAGGTAGCTTCATATGAGCTCAGGGAAAGGGAATGAGCAAGGATGCTGTCCCATCTGACTGGTGACTTAGGCAGGTTTGCATCTGCCTCTGGAGACCCAGCACCCCAATCTGGCCAGGAATCAGCATTGATGGATGAAGACAACAGGGTATTGAGTATAGGCAACAAGACCTGTGTAGACAAGACACTAGGCTCCACCTTAAAGCTCCTTGAAGACACCTCTTCAGATTGATTCCTCCCTAGTCTGTGGATCCATGATCCACAAAAGAAATGCCTTTTAAGCCTGAGAATTTACTCAGAAGACCCCTCCTTCATACTTGAGCACTCCGCCTCCTATGCCCTCTCACACTCAGGACCAGAGACGAAGCTACATGACTGTGTGGGGGCAGTCAGCCTACAGGAATTCCACACAACAAGCCTTACCTGGTAGAGGCGGCTCAGTGGTTGACTCAGAGAAAGCCAAAGAATCTGCAGAGTGGAAAAGGGAAGGGGTCACTGACTGTTGAGGAGGGTAGGTCCTCTGCCCCTTAGCAAGCAAGGGCTGAATGGACATAGCCCGAAAGCCCCCTCCATCACTAAAAGGTTATGATTTTTTCCTTATGAAACCAAACACCTTTCTCATTCACACTGGCTAGGGTGCCACCATGAACATCTTTTGCTCGTGCCATCACACTCCACCTCCTCTGCTTCCAGTCTCCATCCAGAGTATCACCCAGTTCATTAACAGTCCCATCCTCGTCACAGTATTGGACTTCAAATGACATGTAGGCATTTCTATTGCTCAAGCACCCTCAAATAACAAATATTTGCCACCACCAGGGTATTCTTGAGAAAGTGGTCCTCATCAGAAAGAAGAGCAGTTTTCAGAGATGCATTTGGGAATGCCAAAATAAACCCACTTACAAAATAGCCATTTGGAGACCCATGCTCCTTTGGAATGCCCATTCTTGGGTGGGGGTTGGATTATCATAGCCACATCCTACACACGGTGGCGCTGCAGAATCTAGAACTCAGGCCAGGTGGCAGTGAATGATTTAAGTAGAAACTCCTGTTTGGAGGACACACAGTGGGTTGGCATGCTGGGCAGTTTCTTTGTGGATTAAAGGACCTTTAGCTGTTTAAAAACGTATCCGCACCATGTAAATAAGTGAAAAATGCAGCGGTGGGATTCACAGGGTCAGGCCAGGGAGAAATTGTCTTTTCCGTGACAGTGTAAGTATCTTTTGCTTGTCACTTAATCCTCAAAAAGGAGAACAAATTGGCTACTCCCCAATTTGATCCTGGTACAAATTTAAATGGTGAGGACCAGCTGTTGCCCTACTCAGCCCCCCAGCCCCCTTTAAAGAGGAGAAGCTGTCACTTAGGTCAGGGAAGATCCTGGTGCTGTTCATCAGGGCCAGTCCACGGACTGATGGCACCAACAAGCTCAGAGGGGACTGAGACCGAAACTTGGCTTCACCCCGTCTCAGCTTTGGACAACAGGCATCCCCTTAACCTCTCTGAGCCTTGACATCTTTATCTGTGCAAGGGGACAGTACTGCCAGTCCACCAACACCAAACAAGGTATGACTCACAATAGAGTGGGTAAACGTGCACACACTCATGCACATCCACGCACCGTGACGCCGCCTCACAGTGCACACACAACACCGAGAGGTGAGAGCTGCACTACCTGAGCACACGACTCCCCCGTCTTCCCTGTGGCCACAGTCATGGTTGTACCACCCATCATGGCCGCAGCTCGATAGGTAGGGCTCCCATCCTGAGCAGTACACTGCACCCAGGAGAATGTTCCCTGATCCCTGACCGAAGTGAGCCCCTCCCGGGGCTGACACAGAATGGCCACAGCCGAGCTGCCGACAGACGACATCTGCATCCTGGGTGTCCCAGCTGTCATCGCACACGGTGCCCCAGTAGCCTTGGTACAGGACCTCCACTCGGCCCTGGCACTGGTCACCGCCATTCACCAGCCTCACAGGCAAACCTGCATTGACACAGCAGAGAGCTGGGGTCTCGGTGCTCTCTTTCCTCCCCTTGGCTTACACCACGGCATGCTCCCCTTTCTGCTCTGAGCACCCCGTTCCCTCCCCTTCACCGACTCTTCCCCCTCAGGACCTTCAATTTTACTTCTTTGCCCTCTTTTCACTGTCTTCCCTACTGAAGAAGTTCCTGTACTCTCAGAACTTCCCAGAGGACCCCAAAGCTGTCTCTCCGGTCCTGACTCAGTCCTGACAGTCCCAGCCCTGAGTTCTAGACCAATATTTCAGTGGCCTCTGGGATGTCCCATCCGACCACCCTACATTTAGTAGTCTTTTTCCTCCACTCAGACGGCTGATGCCATTATGCTCCTCACTAAGTTTGCTGGAAATTTGGGCATTACACTTGATTCCTCCTCTTTCCCTCTGCATCCAACCTATCACCAAGGACATGATTTCTTTTTCATACCCACCGCCGTTTTACTAGGTTACACCTTCATTCTTTTGAACCCGCCATGCTCAGGGGCCTCCCAGTTGATCTCTCTGCCGCTACTCCTCCCTTCTGTAATGCATTCCCAGTTACTGATCCAACCACATTCAGGTGCCTCTTGCTGTCATCTGTCCCCCCAAGCAGCCCCCAAAGTTTAGCTCTACAAACTACAAGTATGTTCAAGTCACTGCCCAGCTCAGAACACGTCAACGTTCTCTCCACTCAAGATCAAGTGTATGAAGGTATTTGTCACAGGGGTCCTCAACCTACCTTTCCAGGCTCCTCCCACCGTCAACACGACCATAGTGAAGGAGCCAGAGGGCACCATGCTCCTGCTGGGCATGATGCCCCTAAGTCACCCATAGTGAAGAGTTACACTGATTAGTCAAGGAAACAGAGCAGGTTCTGAGGGATCCACCCCCGAGTCCTGACAGCAGGAGCCAGATCCAGGGTGTGGTTTTCCAAAGGTTAGTTTGAGGTTATGAGAAATCTTGGATCAGAAAGTGACAGATTGGAATGGGGTGCAAGGGAGGCGGGTGGTTGTTATTGGTTTGGGGTGGGAGTAGGGTGTGGAAGAGACCAGCAAAGAGGAAGGAAACACCCCGTTGGACCATTTTCAGGGCATGCTCCAAGTGTATTTGAGTCCTGCTAACTCTTTTCTGCCCCCTTCTGGTCACTCTCATGAATGTCCCTGCTGAAGAGTTCATATTCTTGCCTCAACCCAGCCCTTGCTGGGAGATCACTCTAAAAGCTACCTCTTAAGTCCCTCCCAGGTCACATCTGCATCTTTCACAGCATACTCACAAAGGAGGATGATTGGTTTCAAGAGATCCAGGGGCCAAATGGCAAAGTTAGCTGCCTTGGGTGAACCTAACCTATCAATGTTAGGTACAGAGGTCTACACACTCAGGGAGAAAGTGGGAAATAAATGAGCTCATTTAGTAAGAGCCAGAGTCAAGAGGACCAGTTCTGTGTTCAAATCTCTGCCTTCCCACCTACCACACAGGTGACTTTATACATAGAAGTACTAACTAATTACATAACTATGCTCTAATTTTTCCATCTGCAAAATGGGCATAGTGATACCTACCTCAAAGTGCACTTGGGAAGATTTTGTGAAAATAGCACTTATTGTAAGCGCTAGATGAGTTCTTATTTTGTACCAAGACTTTAAGATGATTGTCCTTACTCCACAGAAGAAGTAGGAGAAGCCCTGATTCTTTTCAGCTCTCTTCTGACGTTTACAGTGAAGCTAATTTCATCAAACCAAATGGTTGAGAGGCAGAGAGAAGCAGGAAGGACAATGACAAATCGGATCAGCTGAGTGTGCACCTTGGACATGCCTAAGGGCTTGGAATCCACATCTCTCATGCCCACTCCATCCCTGAATTTTAAAGACAAGCTTTTGTTCTGTGGCTCAGGCTGCACTTGGCTTCCACTAGCCAATAGCAGCAGCACAACTGACTGTCCAAGTCAACAATCAAGACCCTGCAAAGAAGAGTAGGTGGGAACGCAAGTCTTACCAGAGTGTGTGAAGTATGGAGTCTCTTGACCTAGAGAGAAAACAGATTCATTTTAGGAAAGATATTTAGAAATGATCTACAGGTCACAGAAATTGACCTCCGGCTTCCCCTTGCAATCCTGCCAGGGGGCGCTGTAGGAAAATCATTGGTTTGTGTGTTCTAATGCTCCTGCTAAAAGTGAAATTTTGCAATAGCAGATTAAGTGGGTTGTTGACAAAGGGCTCAGTAATTTTAGACATTCTGAACAGAAATAGGCAGAATTTAAAATATCCTCTGTCACTTTCTTTGGAAATTATTAACAGGGGCTTTTATAGCTACAGTGAAAACATCATAGTCTCTTTCAAAGCCGGGTCAAGCAGAAAGATTTCCCAAAGTATGGTGAGCAGAATGTCTTTATGTGTGGTTTTGTAGACTTGCAGGTTCCTGAGCCCCAGCTCAAGCCTTCAAGTCTGACCGTGTTCAAACCAATACTCTATTTGATTTTCATGTGCACTAAAATTTGAGGCAGGGGCAAAATAAAATTTCAGGAGAACAGAACTGTATTACCACATGACCCATGTGTGCTCTAGCTGGAAGACGTTTCTGTTGCTTTTGCATTTCAGAAGGGACACAAATCATACTTTTGTGCGGATCTCATACCATTCATTAAATCTCAGCATTTATTCTTAAATTATTAATAACTATAAAGTAAAACATAAATTATAAACCAACACAGGAAATGCTTTTCAAAGTACTTACTAGCTACGAGGTAATCTGAATCGGTACCTGTGAAGTAATAAGAGAAAAATTAGATGGGTATGTGTTTCACTCACAGGAATCCTGGCAAGAAACCCACCTGTGAAGCAATAGTTGACTCCAAAGCAGAGACATAGCAACTGTGCAGAGATCAGCAGCTCATATCTGAGATCAACCATGTGCCTCCCAAGGAGGTGAGTGCGTTACATGTGTCTGCCCTGCTGCCTCCCCAAAAGCCAACTTAAAACAATGAGATTCCATTGTAATTTGTCACAAAAGAAAATGTCCTAAAACAATAATACAGGGAGAAGGGGTGTCAGTTATAAGCAACTATTACACCATTATATGGAAGAGATTTGAGCATCTGAGGATTCTGGTGTCCAGAGGGGTCTTGGAACCAAACCCCTGTGGATACTGAGAGACGAGTATGCTCAATGATGAGCATGTGGTTAATATTTTTCCTGATAAGTGTTTAGGCCCCCAAAAGTATATAGAAGGAAATAGCAATATTGCTCAGGATCAGTCGGGAGGCATGAGGCTGGGGCGGCTCCTGGTCACATCTCTGTCCTGCCATGCCAAAGCCCAGTACAAGAGCATCTAGGCTGTTCATTATAGTGGTGTGGGTCAGGCATCTGTTGGGCTCATAGGGGTGCAAGGTGCCCAGATGAACATTAACGAGCGAGGGATGGTTCCTAGACCGTGCATAGCAGGATCCTCGAAACAGCCCCAGACAGCCTGGCACAAGAGGTAAGTGCTAGGCTAACCTCTATGGAAGGAGAGTGGCAGCCGTAGAACAACACGTGTGTGTGTGTACGCACGTGTGTGTGTGTGCGTGTGCACCTGTGTAACCATATACATATCTGTCCTGTGTTTGTGTCTACCCTTACATATATATGCTTGTATCTATCTCGGTCTTTTATGTTTATAATTATGTGTAAGCATGTATATATGCATATGTCTCTGTATGCTTGCTCTGTGTATGTGAAATGTATGTTTTATGAGTGTGTATCTACATGTGTGCCTGTATGTACACGTCTGTGTGCATCTCTTTGTATGTCTATATGTGCATCTATGTGTGTATGCATATCATATCTTTCTATGTGTATTTGTGTCTGTGTTCATGTGTGTATGTGATTGTGTGTGAGTGTATGCTGCACATGTGATTGTGTCTCTCTCTCTGTGTATATGTGGGGTGTGTTGTAAGTGTGTTCAGTATATGCCAGGAAAAGCTTTCCAAACGAGACAAAGTCTGTGGAATTTAAAAAGAATCGTTAGACTTAGCCAGATGAAGGCTGGGAAGAGGAGGGATAGAAAGGGTCTTGCAGGTAGCAGAACCAGCAAAAGTGAAGGGGTCGTGGCCAGAGGAGGCGCTATTGGAGTGGGGAAGGGGGGAAGCACCAGTCGTTTGCATTAAGAGACGGTGAGCTTCGAGCTATCCCGGAAAACAGGAAGAATCCATAAATCTAGGAGTGAGAAAGCAGTGACGAATATGTGGGGAACAGAAAGACACGAAGGTGTTGCCAAGCAGGGTGTGGGGACACACAAGGCCGCAGGAGACATCGGGCAGGATCGTGGGGTGAGGGGTGGCAGGCTGCACGGCTTGGACTTGGTTCCAAGGTGAAGCCCCAGGCATTTTCCTCCTTCTATGGCATGAGGCAGCTGCCCTGGGTGAGGTCCACACTGCCCGGTGGTGTGTTTACCCAATAAAGAATAGTTAAAGAAAGAAGCGCTGTGCCAAAGAGCAGTGAGACATCTGTGTGGCCTGTTATTTGACTCAGAAATGTCCTCTCCCCTCCAAGCACCAACCACATTAAAAATATCCTCATGATGCTTAAAAATCCCTCCAACAGTTTTCCTCCTTCTTTTCAAGGAGTTAATGATGGCCATAAATCCAGTTAAATTGTGGAAAGCGTAAGTGAGAAGATTAGCAATCTGCCAGAAGTGAGTTTATAAGCAATTATTATTTTCTCCTTTTGCAAAACATTGGCCTTGAAGAAATGAGACCAAAGGAAATTAAGTTTAAAAAAAAAAATCCTGGACTAATTTTAGATGCAAAGAAAAGTATCAAAGTCACTGCAGGGAGTTCCCACGGACCCCTCCCCACCTCCCCCTAATATCGACATTTTTCATTTTCTCGATGTATTTGTCACAGCTAACAAAGAAGCACTGGTATGCTCCTGCTAAGTAAACTAGACTTTATTTGGATTCCTCCAGTTTCTCCTTTTCCAGGAGCCTGTCCAAGATCCACATCACATTTAGGAAGTTACATTTGGGTAAAACATTAGGAAAATGCCTGGAATAGGAACACTGTCCGTTCTGAGGCTCCATCTGCCAGCCACTGCCTGGGTAATTTCAGTCCTTCACAACGCTGAGAAGGAGAGCAAACTTCATCCCATTTGCAAATGAGTAAGCTGAGGCTTGCAGTGGTTCCACAGCTGGCCAATGGCAGAGTCAAGGACGTCACTGAAACCAGCAGTGGTGCCTCAGCCTCTCCTGCCTACCACCACCTGGGCACCTGACTTTCTCGAGAGTTAGTGCAGAGAGAACTGAGAAGAGGGCCCGCCGAGCCAGGCCCTGTGCTGAGCTGAATGCCCCGGTTCTTTTCCTCTACAAGGGGCAGGAACAGTTAGCTGGCCACAAGTGCTGCCCAAACGCAGGCAGCCCTCACTCCAGATTCAAATCCTACCCCAGCAGCCTGCCAGCTGCTGTCCTTGCCAAGACATATAACCTTTCTGAGCCTGTTTCCCCATCTGAGATGTGGAGGTAATGGTACCTATCTTTGCAGTAGTAAATAGATTTAAAGAGATGTCAATTAGAGAAAAGATACACACAGAGTATACTGGGTTCCTACTCTGAACTGCAGATACAAGCATACATGCAGCTGTGTGTGGCTACACATAAGCATACATAGAGCATCATGATAATGAGCATCATGATAATGTGTCCCTCAGCCTTAGAGCACTGCTGCCTTTTGACCTCCAAGGCTGACATGACTCCCATGTCACTATTCAGAGCCACTGCAGTGTGTTCTATCAAAATCCAGGGTCAAGGTCCCACCTCCCCTCCTACACACTCTCTAAGAGATAGAAGCAAATGGTCTGTCCAGGTCCCAGGCTGCCCCAAGCTGGAACCCAGGGCTCTCCTAACAAGAAGGAATGGTAGCATCCTTGGCCAGCTGTCGCATACCTCCCCACACAAAGCCACTCACCATACCAGACCCCAAGGCCTGGGTTTGAGGGTGTTGCTTTCATGAAAGTTGTCTCCCAAATGATCCTATACCTTCAGAGCTTCCCTTCGTCAAGCCCAGGAAAGAGTGATAGTTCTAGAAGTTATCTGGAACTTAGATGATTTTCCCCTTCTCTCTAGCAAAAAGCAACACCAAAGAAAGATATGGGGTGAAAGAGCAAAAGGAAAGAAAATGAAGGAAAGAAGACAGGAGGGGGAGAGAGGGAACAAAGAGGAAAAACAGGGAAAATGGAGGGAGTGGGTAAGGAGATGTGGACATCAGACAGATGAGAGAAGCAGCCAGAAGGAGACAGAGAGAGAAGGTGACCTAGAAAGACAGAAACAGCGACAGAGATGGAGGCAGAGTGAGACAGAGGAAGAGACAGAGAGAGGAAGACAGAGACAGAAAGACAACGAGATAAAGAGAGGCAGAGAGGGAGACAGAGAGCAGGAGAGAACAGGTGGACAGGTGATCGTCTTCTCACACAGCAGCTCGGTGAAAAGACCCTGAGATTCAACCATCACAATTTGTCAGTGGATCTTTCATTTCTCGCACATGAGGACACGGAGCCATGCTTGAGTGACTGGGCTTCGAGCCCCCAGCCTAAGCGTGAGGGACAGACACACACTTGGTATCATAATGATTCTGTCTGTGCAAATACTTAGCCTGCTCTGCTCAACAAATATTGGTCTTTATGCCAGATGCACCTGCAGAGAGAAGGCACACAAGGAGCATTTACAGGAGAATCTTTTCTACGCATTTTCATAGCATACAAACCCTGTGCTTAACTCATTATGGTACATCGTTAGGCCCTCTTAGCCCACGTACTCATTCCAGAACATAAGAGACTTTTCTAAGCCCAACAGATAACTTCCTTCACCGAACGGCTCTCTGACAACATTGATGTGATTGGCTTGTTCTAACTACAACTGCCTTGCATTTCTCGCCCAGAGACAAAACAAAAGCTAAGCATTCCTTCTAAACATTTGCACACTCTTACAATTACCAGCAAAGAACCACCTGATACAGAATTCCAGATACAAAACTCCAGCATGGAGGAACAGTTAGATCAGATTTGGCAGGAGTGGGGTTTTCAGGAGTACAATGAATGAATATAGTCATTAGATATAATACCTGTAGAGAGAACATGACCCCAAAAAAGACATATTTGGAGGATGATCGTGGAGATCCCCATTGTGCTGGGTTGCTGTCAGTATGACTAGAAATTCCTTGACATTTATAAGTTCCCAGCTGAAAGGAGTGTCTTCCAGGGTGGTACATTTCTATTGCTGTCATAAATCAATATGAAGGAAGTAAGGGACTTTGTTAACAGTCAGTGGCTAATTTGCGGGAACCATTTGGGTGTGTTTGATTGATTGCAGTATGAATAACCTGGACAGCACCCAACTGCCAGGGCAATGACACTAGTGATATAACTTCCAACTTCCTTCTAAGTGAACCTCGAAGACTTCCAAGTGCTCCCTGAAAGTGGGCTTAATTTTAATCTTGGAGAGTTTGAGTTAACCTGTGGGAAGCAGGATGTGGGCTGCTGGGCAAATAAGGGACATGGTGCCAAGGGGGAAAGTGCCTCTTGGGGATGGTTTGTCCTGGCAGAGCATTCTCTGATTGGCCCCTGTGCATATAACGTAGCCCCAGAGGAATGAGAATGATATTACTGCCAATGTGACCTTAGTGTAGAAGGGGTGAGGGATGATTCCACAGAGACTGCAGACGCATACTTGCTTTGGCCCCCATCTTCTGTGCTTCTGGGTCTTACACTAATTCTATGACACAGCGGCTGGGAAACATGTGGCCTCAAACTGACCCACTTCTGATGGCTACAGGCAGCCTTGCTTTCTTGTCCTTGGCATTCCCACTGTGTGATGCTTGAGATTTGACAGAGGCACAAAACCTGCCCCCACCTGGCCCATTTTGTTCACAGTCCCTCTCTGTGGAGGATCACCTGGGTGACTCTCCTTGAAAAGAGAGCTGTTATCTCCATTTTGACTAAACCTGGCTCTATTTCCATGTATTGATATGTACAGAGCTGGCCAGGACTTTTCCTTATCCTTTCAATTGGCTTTAAGCAATGAAAATTGGTCCAGCCAAGGTGCTGATGTGTAGTCTTTAAAGCAAGGCGACAGGGTAGTGTTACCCTGGCCCTGTAGCTTCCAAAAATCATGTGTGAGTCAGGCGGCATGGAGAGCCGTGGTCCACACTATTGTCTGGGATGGAGCTTTGAGATAAAAGGCTATGACTTCCCAGGGCATAAAAAATTACACATCAGAGCTGAAGCACCAAAACCAAAACATTAGACACTACTTCAGTTATGTTGTGTGATTACTCTTTCTGTATATCGTTCTCTCTGCATATTGCAGAGGTGACTTCAGGCCTCCTACCTAGCCCAGCTCACAGCACTCACCTACTTCCTGCTATTCTCACAGTCACTCATCCTCAAGCCACTCCCTTCTTCATGAATGAATAAAACCCGGGTTTAGCTCTGGATAGAGGCCTTGGTTCTGGTTAGCCATTAACTTAGCTGGATTTACGACCCCCTCGGCTCCCCCCCAACTACAAATGTGCCTTAGTGTCCTTTTTTTTTTTTCCAGTACTGGGGATGGAACTCATGACCTTGAGCTTGCTGGGCAGGCACTGTGCTGCTGAACTAAATCCCCAACCCCTGCCTTAGTGTCTTTATTCTCACCACGGGTTGCACTGAAAGTGGTAGATTGGAATTAACTCGCTAGAATCCCAATAACTTTTCCATGGGATTACAAATATAAACTTCTCAGACAGAGATGAGAACTGGGAAAGGCTCTCTATACCTCTCTTTAGGTTTGTGATGTAAATATCACTTCACTCTTTGGGATCCTCAAGTCTGCAACCCCAGCCTGTGACAGTCTCTTGGACTCTATCAGGAAGGTTGCTAGTCATTTGTTTGTATCAAGACACTTTCCAGGGGCAGGGTCCTGGTAAGAAGCCAGCTTTTCAGGGTTGCCTCTTTCTTCCCACCCAGTGAGCAGGGTCGTACTCTCAGCAGAGTCCCCAGGGGCAGTGGAGGAAACCCTGTCTTCCTTGTCATGTGCTGTTAACCTATAGTCTCTGCGCTTCATTCTAGCATAAACCAGCCTTGTATTAGTCATGAATAGTCTGGAAACAAGGCTGGACAGCTGCCTCTGGCTTTCCCCACATGAAAGTTACATTCCAGCTTTGATTTCTGCTTTACCCAGCAACTCTTCTTCTTTGGGTGTTCTCAAGTCTTCTTCACCCCTGGGGGAGAACAGATGTGTCTCCACAGGTGGGCCACTACTTCATGCTCCTGCGGTCAGTCTAACAATTGAGAGGTATCAGGTGACCAGAGAGCGGGGCTGCACATCTGCCGTGGGATGCCTAAGACCAGACACGCACTGCGTTCTCCTTGACTTCTGGAGTGGCAGCCTGAGGAAAATGCTGAGGCCGGGTCTGGGATCATCAAACAGGAGTTCAAGACAGGTTAGGAATGTCTGCTCCAGCACAGCAGGGAGAAGTGGTGGGAGGAATACAAATAACTGTGAGGGTGAGGGGAGAGGGTCTTCTTCCCACAGCGATGTGCTGTCTGGTCTTAAAACAAGCACAACGAGGGCAGTTAAGTGTTCGTAAAAATATAGGAAAAGCATTCAATCAGATGGCAGAGGCAGTTCTCAGAGAGGGTGGCTCCTAAACCAAATCTTGAAAGACAAGCAAGGGCCAGCTGAGAGAGACAGACAGACAATGAGAGAGACAGTGAGGTGAGAGGGAGAGAGAGAGAGAGAGGAGACTCACAAAGGAAGGGGCAGCCTCTCTAGCTGCCTGCGCATAAGGACGAGGAATCCTCAGCATCTCAGCTCACAGGAAGCATCCTTCCTGAGGACTCTGTGATGGTCCCAACCACAAGGCTTCCTCCTATTTGCTATTTTGGTGACCCTGTCCTTTCCCTATGGTGGCTTGCAGCAACCATCCCAAGAGAACAGTGCTTGGGAACTTCTTGTTCAGAGGACAGCAGGATGAAGGAAGTGGAGGGAGCCTGGCTGTCATTTTAAAACCAGCCTAGGTGGGTGTTCCCCTTGGGAAACAGGTGCCAGCGGTGGAACAGAAAGGACGCGGCAGTCCCAGGCACACAGGAAAGCGCACAGAAGCACCGCCACCTGCCGCCACCACTGGCTTCATCACCAGCCGCGACACTGTACCACAAGGCCCTTCATGGATCATGAGATCTATTCAGAAAGGTCTCTTCTTTTTTTAAATTAATTGTATTGGCAAACTTTTGATATATAATGGCCACACTCATCATAAGGAGTTTGTACCTGTACGTGATATATCTTTTTTATTTTTATTTTTTTTATTTTAAAGAGAGTAGTAAATGAGAAACAGTAGCAACATACCAGTATCATGAACATAAACAAATCAGAACAAGAACATTCAAAGTGATACAGGGTCTTAAGACAAACTAATACAAATCAACAGTGGTTGTTACATCACATAACACTATCCTCAACTACATTGCTCAGATTACCAGATGTAAGATGAAAGATTGCTCAAACTATTAAAGAGAATAAGAAAATAATTCTTTGATAAATCATTAGAGATAATACAGAGTCTCACTAGATAAGATGGTAGAAGTTCACCATTGTAATTCTGTTACATACTGTTACCTTCAAATCAGTTGCTCAGACCACCAGACACAAGTATGCAAAATCAATCAGTACATAAAAAATTGTAAGCATTAACTGTTCCTTTCAATACACCATCAGACATCAGCAATACAGTTATCACAGCTATTCATATATATATTTATATTTTGCCTTCTTTCTTTTCTCTTCTCTCCCTTATCCCAGTTGTTCTTTTTTTGAGCAATTTCTTTCCTTTTCCTATCATCTATTGTAAGTTTTGAGTTTTACCTCGTCTTTCAGGTTCCTAAACCAAGGAGACAATATGATGTTTACACATCTGGGTCTGATTTATTTCACTTATGAGGTGTAATATATCTTGATTCTTCCTTTTTTCCCAGTCCCCTCCCCTCAACCGTTTTCCCCTCCCCATTTACAAAAGTTTGGTCTCTGATTTTTTCCCCTCTATTTTTTTTTTACCTTTTCCCTTCCTTCCCTCCCCACTCCTTCTCTTGTCCCCTTCCCATTTGAACATTTTCTTCCTACTTTCCAATATCTATCATCCATTGGTCCTTATTTACCCTTTCGGTTTCTCACACTAGAGAGACAATGCACTACTTAAATATGTGTGTCCAATTTATTTCACTTAAACTTATGTTCTCAAGGTGCACCCATTAACCTAAAAATGTGTCATGTTTACCCTTCTTTATGGCAGTGTAGCACTCCATTGAACATAAAAACCCATTTTCTTTATCCATTTATTTGTTGATGGGCATTTGAGCTGTTTCCAAGATTTAGCTATTATAGATTGTGCTGCTATAGACCTACTATAGCAGCCCTCCTCTTCATGGGCGTGCATATATCACTGTGAAATGATGCTTTTAACTCTTTCAGGAAGATACCAAAAGGGGAATAGCAGAGTCAGATAGAACCTCTAGTTTTAGTTTTTGAGGACTCTCCACACTGCTTTCTATAGTGGTTGTACTAATTTACACTCCACCAACAATGGAAAGGCTTTGTTTTCCCCACAGCCTCTCTGGCGTGTGTTAGTGGTTGATTTCTTTTTTTGTTTGTTTGTTTGTTTTCCAGTACCGGGAATTGAACTCACAATGTTGCGCTTGCCAGGCAGGAGCTGTGCCGCTGAGCTAAATCCCCAGCCCCTTATTGGTTGATTTCTTGATGACAGCCATTCTTTCTGGAGTGAGACGGAAATCTCAGTGTTGCTTTAGTTTGCATTTCTCAAATGCAATGATGTTGAGCTTTTTCTTTATATTTGTTTGCTGTTTGTAGTTCTTCATCTGAGAAGTGTCTATTCATTTCAGGTGTCTATTTTTGTACTGGGTTTTTTAACTCGGGGGCCTGGTTTTTTTGACATCTCTGTGTATTCCAGATATAAGTTGAAAGATATCTCCTTACATGAAGAGGAGGGCTCCGAGGGGAGCAGCCCTCAGGCAGCAGCCACTCCTCCTCTGAGGACCACCACTGCCTTCCCACCGCTTAGGAGCATCAGCTTCAGCAGCCCATCAGGTGGGAGAGCACAGCCACAGAGCTGCACTTACCCACACACAACTGCCGTGAAGGGTGACGGGGAGACA